TAGTCAAATATGACATATAGTGGGGTGATGGTAATTTGAATTTGGAAGTCAACTGCCAGTTAATTGACTTTTTTACCGTATGAGAATACGTTGCCTATGGTGCACCACGTTCAGGTAAGTCTATCGCACACCCCCTTCCATCAAACCTAGTCTTTGGCTTCGTAACCTCGAGTCTGAACGAGTGGCTTAAATGAGCACAAGTACTGGGTGGACCCAGAGCTATTCAATCGGCCCTCTTCTAGTAATTTATGAAATTTTGACAACCATATCTCAGTCTCCGATGTACATAACTACCAATATACGTACATGTAATCACTAATTAACTTACACGACGAACCTGGTCGATACCGTTTTCCCGGGTATCCGCAATAACGTCATCGAATTTGGAGTTTATCGTGAGATAAAGTTGGTAAATCGATGGATCTTGAGTCATACTCATTAGGAACTCCAGATTCGATCCATTTATATACGAGTACCTAGAGTAAATTAGTGAAGGAAACATTATTTAAAGTCATAATAACAGATAAATTTTAACCATTTAAAATATTATTTAGTAGTAGGAAATTGTTAGATTTATAACAAAATGTGAAAATATTTAAATATAATGAAAAAAAGGGATTAGTTACAATTACATTTCAAATCTTAAAGATTGAAATAATGTTAATCCAATTATTCATAAGACAAAAAGCATTGATTTTTATGACTTACTTATAATACTCCTGATGGAGTAAAGTACTCGGTGTATTTGGAAGGGTCACCAGAGAGGTGAAGGATCGATAGGCGGCATAATTTGCACAAAAAGCGATTACCAAGAGAAGGCAGAAGAACCACCAGACCACAATGACAATCTGACTAGGTGCTGTGCTTGGGGAACGTGTTCGCACTCCCTAAAATTATATCAAAATTACATTGTTTTAAATGGGGAATTTCGCTTGAGAAAATTGTGTACTTCATTGGGCTTAGATCACGGGTGTACTGTGGGATATGTCATCGCTTAACGCGTCATCGCATACTACACGCCAGGATTGGGAGGTGCGTCGTACAGTGGCCAATCAGTAGCCTCCGTTCGTTTAACCTAATCCGCCATCCTGATCATGATTAAGCTCCCTGCGTGTACACTTTACCCACAATATACTTACTGAATAAACGTGTTCCGTGCTATACGTCTGTTTCCTCTATAGCTGAGCTATAGCTTAGCTAGTTCTGGGAGTCTAGCTAGATGTAGGAGAATCTGCCACAGAGATTTCTGAGTTAGTCAAGCTTTACTAGTGTAGCAATCCGCTACAGTACTCAATATTTCGATCAATCAAATTCAAATCTAATTTTGAAGGCAAGACATAGTCTAATCAACTGTAATAACTCCGACCATTTCACTTTCTATTTTCAATGCCTTTTTTGGAAGCTAATGTATATCGATGAATTGTTAATTAGATCCTTTGCGTGAAAGCATAATCACTCTAAATGTCAAGACCACATAGGAAGTACTTCAAGCAAGTATGAATAAATTGCACTCGTTTGGCATGTACCAAGACATTATTTTGAGTAGAAATTGATACGCCCTTAATTAAATTGCGGCATTTTGTAATATGCGAGACGTTAGTTGTTGAAAAGAGAAATGAAGTTATTCACATTGGAGGGGCCTTTGAATTTAACTCAATATTAGGTACATGGGGTGTGATAGACTTACCTCCACGTGGTGCACACTGGGCAACGTGTACTCATCAAACGATAAAAAGTCTATAAACCGGCAGTTGGCTTCTAACTACCATCACCCCACTGTGTCATATTCGACTACTCTACAGTACTCACCTCACCTTTTACTACCTTTGTGGCTGTCTCTTTTGCATTTTTAAAGTACTCTTCTGTTTCCCCCCCCCCCTCTCGACTTTTTCACTTTGATGTTCCTCTTCCTCTCTGTGAAGCCTGAAGTCAACTAAAGAGCTAATGATAAATATTCAAAACGCATGCTATTTGAAATGATCATAGTAATAGGTACATTTAAAGTTGGTATTCCTTATTCCACAAGCATACTACTTTGATTAAACGCGGACACTTTACAAAATGATCACCGCTTTTCAAACATTAAAGGTCTTGGTTGTAAACTGGTACTCGTCTTCTTCACTAAACCTATAATTTGTAGCGGATTTCCACAAACGCAGGCTTTCTATTGGCCATTGGCTGTGCTTCTCCGCAACCAATCCGTGTGCGAGGTTGCACGCCGCACCTTAAGCCTAGTGTACGAGCATGCGATGACGTGCCCCACAAATTTAGACTCACGTATCCTTTTCCCGAAACATTCTAGTTTTGCTAAATACCCTATAATATTTAAATGCAAAACAATAAGATTTTAATTATACTATTGGGTTATTTGATTTCGCTTAAGTTAATGCAATGATAGAATGCGTAGTTCGGCGTTTAGAAAGCACCCAAACACATTATGTGCTGAATTTAATTATAATTTTAATTTATTTCCTCAAGCATCATAAGTTTAGTTAGTTATTTACATTTGCCATCTTTATTTACGACACTGGAGAACACCGGCAAATGTCATCACACCCAAGTGTGAATATTTAGCAATTAAATATAATTGGTAAAAAAGACTGATTTAGGCATTTTATTCCATTCGTTAATAATGTATCTTAGTTGAAAGGAGATATTAAAGTAAACGAATAAATCTGATTGGATGCTAAATTCTGAGAGATCGCTACAAATGTGGTAGATAATGGTACCTGAATTCCAAAAATAATTTCATGAAATGGAATTTTCCGTTTAACCGTCAGACCGATATGGCATACTACTGTTCTTTAATCAGAGCTTAAACGACTGCAAGACTACTAAAATAAGTACTAAAATTTATGGTCCAGTACTTAAAGTCTGCCCGTGCGAAGTCCTTTTCAACGGATTCAAAACAGGTACTAGGAGAGTAATGAGGTACCGAAATTTGGTTGGGCAATCAACTTAAACTGTATAACACAGACGTGTGGAGAAGTTTGTGCACCTCTTTGGTGTACTGAAAACAAAGGATTTGTAACTTTAAACACTTAATTCCTCACAAGGAACAATAAATTGATTTTTAACGATAACGTGAGTGAGGAATAGCAATGGTTGAGTTCGAATCCGCCAACCATTTCATCCCCCTCAAACCATGCCAGGTTTAACTCCCTAAGAACTTGGTGGAATGTATGTTGAACTATCTTCTACGAATTGTAAAAACTGGACGAAATAGTTGCAAATGAGGTCTATTTCTGTCAGTATTCGGAAAGACCTATATGAAAAGCAAAAGATAAACTTATAACGTTATTCAGCAGTTAAAAGATAATACTTCAACACGCCGATGTCGAAGCCTCCCCAACACAGGTAAGAATGACCTCCCAAAAATATCCAGCAATTAAATTGCTGGATTCCACTACATTCCCCATAATCACAAGGCCTTACCTATTCCATTATCGACTGTTCGAGACCATTAAGCATAATTAGGGAGTAAAACGGTTTCAAGATGTGTCTGAAGTCGAAAACCACTCGAGAAGGTATATTAATTAATTGATTAAAAATTATTTGCTCAAAAATGATTGAAAATGATGGTGGGAATTGTTTTAATTAGTGTCATGTGCAATTACACCACATTTAAAAATTAATATCATTTCAATATTGTTTTAAAATCCGCGATTTCGTTTCGGTTAAAATAATATTTGCTAAAACTCAAACTCACTTTTTTGTGAAAACGAAACCATTGTGTTCGAATAATATGCGAGATTTACACTCACACTTACAGATGTCCATCCTACCATTGGCCACTGGAATTGAGCCAATGGAGTATTCACTTCTTCAACATCCAATCAAAATGAAGTGAGATTAAAGACACTTAGCTGAACTTCATCAGGACGTAGGTTTAAATGCCTTTTCTATGAACAAAAGAGCCTTAAAATTTAACAAAGGAAATACGGAACGGAAAAAGCACATTACAATGACTGAAGTCGCAGTGAAACGTTTTTCTTTAAATAATTACTCTTAAATAACCTCTAAAGACTTATATTAGTCAACCCTTCTGCAATTATGAAGATTGAATACTCTTTACGACACAATAAATTTCTGAATACATAATTGAGAAAGCTTATCTTTGATCGAGAAAATTATAATTATATTAAATGGCTCCAGATATAAAATTTTGAAATGAATTAAATTTTAATACTATTTTTAATATGCTCACTTTCTTATTGAGACCCGTAATATTAGCCTTCCTTTTAGGAAGTAGCCTTGCGGGTGATTAAATTAACGTTAGCCTGTCATGCGGCGCAAGTACCTCTAAGGAAATTTGTTTCCTATCAGCATCAAGCTCGATTCGCACCTTAATGCTTATGTCTTTAACTGTGGGGTGTGTGATAGACTTACCTCCACATGGTACATCCTGGACAACGTATATTCATACAGCAAAAAAGTCTATTTACTGGCAGTTGACTTCTGACTTCTAACTACCGTAACAGAACTGTATGTCATATTTGACCACATTAACGGTACTCATCTCACCATTTCTCTACTTTTGCGTCTGTCTGCCTCTTTAACATCTTTGAAACACTCTTCTGTTTTCCACTTTTTGTTTCTTTAATGCTCCTTCCCTCTGTGTAGCCCGAAGTCAATGAAAGGGCAAATGGTGACTAAAAAAACGCCTACCATTTGAAATAAATAAATGCCTTCAACTGCAAGTGTAAATAGTTCAAGGCAGTTTTGATTGACATTTCACGTCATTTATAATCAGTTGAAGCGTTACAATATTAATTTTTTGCATGATATTTCACCGCCCCACTGTACGACCCGAATAGGTCTTCCATATAATTGAATTAAAATGTCAATGCTGACATACCTGGAAGAGGTAACCGAAAACAAAGATCATGGATGGATGAATTCCGAAGCTGTGGGTATTTGGACTGATTCTATGCAATAGTATAAGGGATCCAGCAATCGCTACTGCAGCCACGAATATCATGACCCAGGTATAGACATCAAATGCAAGGGTGAACTGGAAGATCTCAAGGGAGGCTTTGAGGGAATGTGGAAGAAGGAGGAACTTGTATGAGAAGCTCTGATATGGTGATGTACTTCGAAAGGATGATAATCTCTCTTCGGTATTTGTGAAGGGGCCAACTAGAAGATCCATATCCTGAATTTATAAAATTTATAAATAAATTAGGTAATTGGACATCGTTACTTAAATTAATTTGATATACACCGGTCAAGCCAAAAAATTATTCACAAATTATACTCACTTCCAAGTCCTTAGCAATGCTAATCTAAAGATATTTGCAAAAGCGAGTTTTCCATTGCAGAGGCTATTCCACTGACCAATACATGGTTAAAAAAATTCTCTCCCTCAACATATTTAGATATTAATTTTTTTTGACGAATGCTTTATACACCTGGCTACATCACCATTCGGTTTGAAATCATATCCACACTGATTGGCACATGTGTTTCAAAACGAGCATATTTCCTGATTAACAATATTACTAAGGAATGCGTTGGTAGAGTGTGGAACGGTCCAGAACAGCACCTAGAGATATTTTTTAACTAAATTGGACACTGGGGTCATGATTAATGGACGACACAGGTGTTGAGTGCACGTGGTGTTGAAATTATTCTGATTTAACCATGTGGTCAAAATGCATTCGTCAATCCATTGTCAACATCTGCCCATTTGGATTGTAGTAGTTAGGCTATCAATACCACACGTCATGCTGAACTCTTTTTAAGACACGTGACTTCGATTTTCATTGGCTTCCAATTTGTTCGTCAATTTAGTTATAATTGACATAATATAAATCTACATAAATTAAACTAGTTATCTGGGAGTTTTTGTAAGAGTGCCAAATAAGTAATAGAACTACGCACAGGTAACTATTGGCTAGCTAGGGAGCCAATCATGAATCTCATATTCAAGCCAATACAACTAGTTGTTTATTGCTAATTAAAACCGTCATTTGAGCAATAAGTCTTCTCTTTACCACCACCTTGGGTCTGGATAGCTGCAAGTTTAATAAGGAACAGATGAGGAACTATAAAATAGACCATGTGGTTGTATTCTCTCTTCTCCCTAACGTGGTACCCAGGTGTATTTTAGTAAACTTTGGCTCAAGAGGAATTGTCACCCTACTATTTCGCATGACTTGAGATGAAAAGAGCACGCAATGCTAATACCCAAACCCCTTTTTGATTGTACAAGGACTTATAATAGATTAGGCTATAGCAATCCCTGTTTATGAAGATGTAATGATTGCGTTTACCAACTCTGAGTTATCTGTTAAGAGCAATTAAGAATGAATGAAGTATTAGACTCACAAACTGAAACAACACACAACTTGTTTGCTGCTTTTTAGGTTGTGATAAGCTTGCATCTAGTGTTTGAAGCCGGGTACTAACCTTGAAGGTCCAAACAGGAGCTAACGCCCACACACAGAGTGAAGTAATTTGGAAGGCGAACAGGGAAAGCGTCAACTGTGAAAGACTTAAGCTACCATCGGAAAGAAACTCAAATCTTTAGAAGAGAGGGAGGGAGAGGGAGGGAGAGAGTAAAATGAAAAGGAATTACAAGGACTGGGGAGTAATGAGTTTCCGATTTCAATCCCGATGCTTAAAGTTACATCAACTGAAAAAAGCTTAACTCTAACAAAGGAGGTGCCAAGTCTTCTTATCAAATACTTGTTTGCGAAACAGAAAGAAACTCATAAACTCCTTTTCTCATGCATGAGGAAGCCAATTCTTCGTTGTATACTCAATTCTATATAAGTAATACACGCGGTAATTTTAACTGGAAAAATCATTAATCGAACTAATAATCTACTTCCTTAAGTCTTATCAATGTATAACCTTTTTATTAAGTACCTGCAAATTATAAAAAAAATTGAGTTAAAACGCACCCATTTTTGGAGGTTTCCAAAGACTCCCGTCCATTTACCATCGTTTTCCGCACCAATTTCCAGTTTATAGGCTGTGATTTCATAGGACACATTCAATCGCCTCATCAACTCCTCAGCAAGTGCTATTTCAGGACCACGAATTTGACCCGTCCCATTCTCAGCGGTCTCTTCTGTTATTAGTGGTGGCATCTAGAGGGTGAAGTACTGACCAATGAAATTGAATAGATTTTGCGAATTTCGGCTTTATGGCATTGGTGGTCTTTGTATCGATTTAAAACTTGTGATCGAAAAGTAGGTCAATGAAACGAATGACTCTGTAAAGCGTCCCAGGGGAATTTATTACACACTCCAGTCTAGTGTTGCTTCACTACAACATACTGTAATACGATTGACTAATAAAGCCCACATATTTTGCTAAAAGCTTTCTTCAATCTAAAATTCATCCAGAACGATTATTTGATTTATTGTTTTATTTTCTTCATAAAATAATTATAAAGAAGTGGTTTAAAAACCATCACTATATATATATATATATATATATATATATGTCGAATAGGGCCTACAGTTATTTGTGAATGATTGGATGTTCACGAGAAGGATAATTGGAAACATTCGTAATGTGCGTAATCTAAGCTACGACAATGTCAATGCAGTCCATTTATGACTAAGCGTACTCCCTTGGCAAGTGGCGCCCTTACTTGTCAATCTTCGGTGTAAATCAGAGAGGGAGTAGACCGGGACATCAATTAGAAGTGAGAATTAGAAATCACAGAAACGGCTTTAGCTAAAAATGTGCATGTTACATACTGTGAGGAAATCGTTAGGCAACTTAACGGGAGAAGTTAAGCAGACGCGTAACTAAACCGAGGAAAAAGTCACAAAGCGGATCTCTTAGTTCTGTAAACCGGGGTGTGAGATAGACTTACCTCCACGTGGTGCACCCTGGGCAACGTATCAATAGACTTACCTCCACGTGGTGCACCCTGGGCAACGTATATTCATACGGCAAATCGGCAGTTGACTTATGACTTCAAACTACCAAGACCCCATTGCATGTCTTATTCAGCCCATTTCACAGTACTCATCTTACCTTTTCTCTGCTCTATTGTCTGTCTCTGTCACATTTGTGAATCATTATTCTGTCCCCCCTCTCGACTTTTTGTCACTTTGTTGTTCCTCCTCCTCTCTGTGAAGCCTGAAGTCAGCTAAATGGCTGATGATAACTATCAAAATGCCATTTGAAATAAATAAATAGTTCTGTAAACCCATTTAGCATTTAAAGCGATGCCCGAACAGGCTTTTTACGATTTTGCGATTTAATGGTCACTTTTGCAAGTTCTCACCGTTCGGAGGACACAGCTAATCGATGTCATTGTGTCGTTCTCTAAGTATTAAATGTTAACTTTTACAGATAATTATAAAAGATGCCAATTTATTATGTAGTGAACTAGTTACCTTATGCAAATGTACGCAAAATCGAATGTTGTCAATGCCAATACCCACTTAAAAAGTAGTTGCATAAATAGCGGTTCATTACCCTCACGAAGATTTTCTACTGAATGAGGATTTCAGTGTGAATCTTATTTTACTTCCAATTCTGTGTTATTTTAAACACTATTTGGCTTTGAACCGCCTAGCTCACTTGATTCCAAATTACATCTAGAGATCTGACTTAAATTCCCCCCCCCCCTCCAAATTATTTTACATTTAATAATAAAACACTATAATAAAATTAAATTTATTCCGATATGAGGCGCTGGTGATCTCTAGTGACTCTATGGGATGACTTCCAATTTTAATCACTCCAAGTTTACTTTTTACGATAGATAACAATCTTCTTTCTTATGATTGGAGCTTATTTGTTTCTCTCCAATTTTTTTTAATTGTAGAAAATTATGAAATATTTTCTCTCTAAGTTCCACATTTCGTGGTTCACACTTAACAAACACGTCGCTGATTAATATAAACCGATACAATTGACAGCTCCAATGACCATTCGCACACGGAGGAGCATTGGAAAATGTGACCTTCCACTCCGCTGATGTACGTTATGAACGCATCAAGAGAGGCACTGGAATGGTGCGCCCTTTTAGGAACTCTCAATATTTAAATATGGGGTGTGCGATAGACTTACCTCCACGTGGTGCACCCTGGGCAACGTATACTCATACGGCAAAAAAGTCTATAAACCGGCAGTTGACTTCTGACTCCAAACCACCATCACCCCACTGTATGTCATATTCGACTACTTTCACAGCACTCACCTCACCTTTTTTCTATCTTTGTGTCTGTCTGCCTCTTTTACATCTGTGAATCGCTCTTCTGTTCTCCACCCCTCGACCTTCTGCTACTTTGATGAACCTTCCCTCTGTGAAGCCCGAAGTCAGCTAAATGGCTAATGATATCTATCAAAACGCCTGCCATTTGAAATAAATAAATATACGTTTAAATATATGAGAATTAATTTAATGATAGTTTCTTACGCTTGAAAACAATAGCGAGATGGTAGCGGATTATTACCTCAACTTGATGTATGGCTAAAACTCAAGGTCACAGATTACGTAACTTGATTCCGAGCAGTGCAAATCAAACCGCTAATTGAGGCATTTCTTTGCCTAGGTTCTTAATCTATTAAGTTATTTTCTTTTACTGAACTCATCGATAGTTAATTCATTTGATTTCGGAGTTTTGTCAACCCGTTCAAAACTCATCTCCGGAACTACGTGCGCTAAGGTGAATTAGAATCAACCGATTTGTCAGCGTCTATGTCAAACAAATCAGAGTCCTAATTCTAGTAGTTGATTGGAAAAATGAAAAGGAGGCTTGTCATACCACAACTGTTCCCAGTCGAAGGCCTTTTCGTTTCAGTAGTTGTAAAAGCGACGCTCTGGAAGGTGGAGGTTTTGGAGCTTGAAAACCGGCCTCAATTTCGAGAGTTTGATTCACTGTAACCTTGTACGCCTGAAGGCAAATTTGAAATATGAAAGCACTTCCTTAAGGCACTTACTACTTATATGGAGAGTTAAAATTTGCCGCATTAAAAAAACTTAGGTAAAATATTTCAATTTTCCTTTACTGGCGAATAAAGGTTAACCTTTAAAAAATTTTATTATTCTCACGCTTTGTATATCCTGGAATGTGTACATATATGAGTAGAATATCCACATTTGATTACCATTTTGGTCGAAACTGCTCGTTATATAAGTCGGGATTGTAACCTAAAAAATACAAGTAATAATTAGGTAATAACTTCAAAAATAAAAGCGCTAATTAATTTACTTCCATTAAACTTCATAAAACCTATTTATTTTTTGATATGTAATTTTTTGAGTTCAATTTTACACTTTGACTGAGTTTAGACTGTATTTCCACAAGGGCTTTCACTGCAGTGTCTCTAAAAATCAGGTCTTGAGGTGAAATTGGTCTCGTTAAACTGGAGAGTTCAGGAAAACGTTCGAGGTTCCCATTTGTCGAGAACTCGATGGCGTAGAAGTTGGTATCTTCCACGTTGAAATGTTGCCCGGAGAGCGTTATTCCCTATATATAAATGAACAATGGAATTAATGAATGGTGTATTTAGCAAACGGATAATCATCTCCTTGTCTTGTATAGATAATTTAGAGTAATCAAAGCATTCGGATAAAAGTTCTTCATTTAAACTCGAGTAATTTATAATTATGGGCACATGTTTCATCATGGTACTTTGTATTTGTTGACTGTCCCAAGAAAGTAATCCATCAAAGCTGTCGAATGCGTGGTGAATACATAGGATTAATATTTAACAACCAATCAGATCACACTTTTCCTCAAGGTAATTCTTCCCATCGTTCTCAGACAATGATGTAAAATGGTAGGATCGCATTAAACTCCTTGGAAAATCTATTTTTTTAAACTTCTTGAAACAAATCCCGGCTTCTTTCTCCGATAAATCAAAAGGACCCCCAACACTCACTTCTAACCTCGATCATAACGCATCATTTGTCGCAGTCAGCGAATCAATACAACGGGAAATTCAATTAATAGAAGCAAATTCTGGTTGTGTGGTGGAATTATCGCGTTCAAATTGGGCATATAGGACAGTTGATTTTTTAATTGCTCTTCAATTGGACTTTTATCCTTCCATGATTTCGATCAGACTTAGAAAATTCCGATCATATGCCAAAAAATGCCCAGGAGCTCATTGCAATTGCTAGCACTATGGCAGCCATCGAAAATTTCATGTCCGAATACGTAAATCAAAATGAAATTTTACCGTTTTCTTAGCATACTACTTGATAGCATTTTGTAAGTTAGCAGTCTCTAGTCTTTCAAAATTACTGAAAGCCAATAACTTACAGCATTAAAGACAATCCAATAGAACGGCTGTTGTAGGATATTCTTCACTTCGGCCTATATAAGAAAATGGAAAGTATATATATTGAAGGTCATACCCTTTTTAGAATTTCCAAAGCGGCATTCTGGCGAACATTTAGCACAATGATATTTGATCCATCCATGAGGATTTGACCCAATACATCTTCGGGTGTCTCAAAAGAACTGAGCGAGTGGACATTAAGCATTTCGTTCAGGCTGTTCATGAATCCAAATTTGTCCATTTCTTGAAATATTATTGGTTAAAACTTTGCTCGAATAGACTTACTTGAGAAGGGGTGAATAAGCGATTCTGATAAGTGAAGATAAAAATGAAAACGTAATTAGCAATTTCGTGTATTCAAAGGTGACTTTTCCAATTTAATTGAAAATTTATTCTAAACTTAAACTACTATTCTTATTATCATACTCCTTAAATTTTAAAGATTCTATTCTCCAAAAAATGACTTTCTGATCCAACAACTTTCTGATAAGTGGACTTACACCACTAACAGAAATATCAATCTACACATTTGTCATAAAAAATGTCATGGGTTCATAATTGAAGTGAACTCAAGTGATCCATGGTAACCCAAGTCCTCTTACAAATCTAATAATCTAGTCAGATACGAACAGAATTCACCAAAACTTCTTAAAATTAGAAGATCAGGGGTTGAATTGAGTTGATGGTATATTGTTCGACCGATTAATGAGAGAATGAAAAGAGGGTAGGAAATGCAGATTGGTTGTCAAGTCCAAACGGGAATATAATAGCGAAATTATGAAAAAGAGATCAATTCTGAGATTTTAACCGGGCTTACGTTTAGAAAGGTTCACAAAATCAGTACTTTGTCAAATTATGCAGGTTCCTTGTTGACTGGGTTGACAATTAGGTCAAACAGAGATAATATGAAGATCACAATGTCATGTATACTTCAAGTTCAATGCTAACCAATTCATAATTGATAAACAATATGACGAACCGCACTGATTAACCACAGCAATAACAGAAAGAGTTCTTCTCAGTGGAAGAGGTGACACTAACATCATCAAAGATGGAAGTTGAAAAACGCCTCATGCCATGAGGCTTTAAACAGCAACCAATTCACTAAGTTGCTTTTAAGTTTACATACGATTAATACTTCGACAGAAGTAATGTATGTGCAAATAACTTCTATTTTTAAGAGCGCTTCCACTATTCTTCATGCGTGATAGAGATTCCTTAGTGAGAAGTCCCCTGAATAGTCCACATTAATTAGTTCACTTCGCCTACTAGGCGTCCACCAACAAATACCAGCCAGGTGACCTCCAACATCGAAGTCGAGTGCTCTAACTGCTGTGCCATCGGTGCTCAATGTGCTACCTTATAGCTCAAAAGCGAAAACGATATGCAAACTGCCGCATAAGGTATAATTCCATTAATTCACTGATAACAACTTCCATGAGAGTACTTTAAGAGAATTTTTGAATTAATGAGTAATCGAGGGTGACATACCGGTATCATCGTAAACATAGGCCAAGTTTACGATATCGGAGTTTAGAGCAAGATGCTTAACAGCAACTTCAAGAACTCTATTTTGGATGTCGTTAGTCAAATCAAAAGCAGTAATTCGCGCTCGCATGACCGAATCAACATTTGTCACCGTTTGGTTTGGGAAATATTTTGGTCCGTAGAAGTAATCAGGTCCGATTTCCACAAGAATTGACGTATTTTGAATAATTGTGTACTCTTTTTTAAAAAAGAGAGATTATTCGGATAAAAATGACCACAAGAAACTCCAATTACATGAAAAAATGTGAAAACCATCTGAAACCTACGATTTTCCAACTCTCCCGCTGTTGGTGGAGTGGATAAGGTGGGGAGAAATAGGGGAGCAATAAGTTGGGATTTAAGTTCTGTGAAATTGGGCAAATTGAGAATATTATTGAATAGAAGAGTGCATCGTTTCGCATCAAATCGTGAATCCGTAAAAACTGAAAAATAAATTAAGTCAATAAATTTGTAGATCAATAGCTGTGAATGCAAAAAAAGATCCATTTGAAACAGCATTTCCGAAACCCCAATTCCTCGATGATCATAAGGAAATCTTAAAGTATTCATTTAATAAATAAATTGTAAAAGAGTGTCACACTAATTAATAAAACAAAATTAATGAAAAAGACAAAAGGGTTTTCTTTCCTACCACACCAATTGTCAATTTCTGATCAATGTAATTAATGTCGAGAGCATCCAACGCATGTGTCACCTGACAGCTTAAAGCATCACGAAAGAAGTTGAAGATGGGCCCTAGTTCAGTGGTGTCAAGTTCGAGGAATATGAATACCGTCAATTTGATACATTTCGAGCTACCCAGTATAACCTCAAAATTGTCCATAGGGTCGAGCGCTTTAAGGTTCCCACTTGTAGCTTAAAATTATAATTCACACTTGGGGTGTGGGATAGAATTATCTCCACGTGGTGCACCCTGGGCAACCTATACTCATTCGGCAAAAAAGTCTATTCATCGGCAGTTGACTTCTCACATCAATCCACCATCACCCCACTATATGTTATATTCCACTACCTCCATAGTACTCACCTCACCTTTTTTCTACCTTTGTGTCT